TTGTAAATATAGTAATAAGATGGTTTAAATATAGCTATAAGACAATGTAAGTGTACGAGAAAAATAGTTGTTGGGAGGGGCTAAAATAACCAGTAGTTGGCTAGATAGATTCTAAAAATAATATAATATTAACACACCGGAGAAAACCAGAGAGAAACGGCGGTCTCCTTTTCCTTTTAGTTTTATGTGAATATTATTTTAACATTTTTAGCATACCATATATAATATTTGGATTTGGTCCAGAGCAAAGAATGGCCGTCTTTTCCCCTAAAAAAAAAGAATGGTCATCTTTTATTTACACAGACATGCGCCTTTTTAGATGGACCACTCGCGAGATCGTGGGCTGCGGCTGCGATCCCTCACAATATTGGGCTCAATTCTCCGGATCCAATCGGCCAATCTTCACCTAAACAGAAACTGACCACTCGTGAGATCCACTGGGTTCCGCCCCTAGACTGGGCCTCGCCAGTTTCAATCTTAATTTTGTGTGGCTGTGATCGCTCCATCCATCCATCCTTGCACAGGAACGCGCGCGGCCCAAGCAAGAGGACTCATCATCATGCATGGGTGGACAAGATTGTCAAGATATGCACGCGCGCATGCTGCGTTGTCGACTTGAGCTGTTGCGTTGCACGTTCCTGTGATCTGGACCTCAAACCGATCCATCAACGCACTCGCACCGCAGGTTCTTCTCCCGATCTCGTTTATTTGGTGTGTGATTGTGGTAAGGTAGAGGTTGTGGCGAGGTCGGCGTACGGTTGGCGACCCCGAGTAATCAAGTGGTGGCGTTGCGTCTCAGCGGCAGTCAGCATGAGGGACGGAGGTGCTGTGGCTACCGGGGTCACAGCTGTACTCGACGCGGCGGGCGGTGTGGTTGTTGCGTCATCGTGCACGGCGGCCGATGTCATCGGTGCAGCCGCGTGGTGTCCAGGTGATGGAGACATATATGTCGTCGTCGGACAATGGTGCTAAGAGCAGCTCCAGGGTGACCGTCCAACCGAGCTTCTACGTCTGTCAAGCCACGAAGGCAACTGTTCAATCCGCTGCAAGCAAACAAAAACACTACAGTAGTGTGTGGTTCGTTTCACCCGCTTTTACGTCTGTGGTCTGTCAAGCCACGATCGAAGGCAACCATTCAATCCACTGCTAGCGAACAAACCACTGTTGTAGCATGTGGTTTGTTTTTTTCATGCTAAGTTTGACTAGCTTTATAAAAATATGAGTAATATTGACATCTTCAAATAAATTTATTATAAAAATATATTCAGTGAATTATCTAATGATATATATTTGGACCGGGGCACAGAGAAAGTAGAGTGTCGTGGTTGTGCTAGGGCCACGCCTCCCACGAGTCATGGCCTAGGCCCATGGACGTTGTCAATGCGGTCTATGGCCAAGTTCAAGCCTAGATGAGCGGATGTCCATGGTCATGGCCCATGGCGTAGCAGGAGGTGCAAAGTAGTGGCGCCACATCATTGTTGAGTTTTTAGGTCGCGCAGTAAAATCAAAGAGGTAGCAAACGTGACAGATAGTGGCGGAGTCAAGGAAAAAAATTATAGCTAGGGCAAATTGCAATGAAGAAATGAGCCAAAAGGCACAACATTCACATCGCACCACATTCACGTACTAGAATCGAAGGTCCGCCACTCAAACTTATAAAATAATTTTTCAGGTCTACACAGAAATTGAAGTAACGCTTGTCAAATTAACATCCTCTACTACTAAAGAATGAAGAAATTGTTAGATTGACAGATCGAGATGCTCATGAACAATACCATTTGTTTTGCTCTTCTTGCCGATGCCAAACCTGGACACTTCCACCTCGCCCTCGGCCTCGGCCGAATCCAGTGTGTCAAGGCGCTGGTACACCCTCACCCTCCTCGTGGTGGACCATTGGACCTCCTCCTCTCCTCCTCCATCGCAGCAAAACAGCAGCAACCAGCAGGCCAGCAGCGGCCGGCCGCCAGTGCTACGGTGGGAGGCGGGCGCCAGGCGGTGCCGGGGGGGGCAGCGGCAGGCGAGTGGTGGCTCCGACACTCTGCGACGGTCGGCGCGGCGCCGTGGTGGCGGTGGGCGGGCGGACGGCGCTGGCAACCAGCTCCTCGCCTAGGGCGTCGGGCGGCTCAGCGTCGCTGCAATTCCATGAAAAATTGGTGAACGAATCCACTAGGGAAAAGGGAATGAGGAGTGTGCGACGGTGGGCTTTGATGGGCCTCTCACCTTCTTTGGGCTGAACAAAGTTAAGGAAAAGCCCATCCCTTGTTCTTCCTCCGCCGAGAAGGCTGCAGAGTCGCTCGCTCGTGCTTTCGCTTGCTCGCTTCGCCGTCGGGTTTGGGAAAAAGCGAGGTCCGGAAGTGCAGGCGAACTCGCCCGGTAGCTGGGCGGCCGCCCCCCCCCCGCCCTAGGGTGGCTCCGCCCATGGACAGAGATTTATGCTAGTTTAGCCAGTGTTTCTAAAAACAGGGGACATACGCACAATTGCACAAAGGCCAGACTAGATGACACATTTTGAGTCTTTTTAGTTGTACGGAAATGTAAATATCGAGTTGGAACTCGGTTCTCTTCTATTCTGGGATGGTGGCTGATGTGCTTGTGTGTGTATCTTACGGGTTGGGCGAGTGGGCAGATGGAGAGGGTGACGTGGGAGCATATGAGCGAGCTTGCTAGCTAGTGAGGAATCCAAAATGCATCCAAAATGCACGCAGGGGCCAGCTGGGATGGATGCATGCATGGTCTGGTCTGGTCTGGTCGTCTCGCCTGGATGGCATCCCATATGGCTGCTGCTGAATGATGAGAATGCAATGCATGCATGATTCCACTACTCCTAGCTAGGATCGGAGGAGGCGTCGCGTCGCTATTGCAGCAGCACAGCACAGCCGTACTACTGTACGTGTGAGCATCGATGGATCTAGCGGTGGGGGATAGCAGAGCAGAGCAGAGCACGCAGGTGTGGTTGCTGTGTGCATGCATGGGCAAGGAAGGAAGCTTCGGGGCAGCGTCCTCGATCCCTCTGCCTCCTCTCCTCTTCTCCAATCAACAGCTGACGCGGGCGTCTGCAGAGGAGAGGAGGCACTTCATGGCCCATATGCACAGCACCACCACCATGCCATCGATCGGGGCCGGCATGCATGGCTCTGATTGCGGCCGGGTCCTCCATCCAGGCCGCACTCCCCCGGGTGAGCCTGCGCTTGCCGCTGTACATGTGTGTGTGTGTTCGAGCGTGTTCGCTGGTCGGTCTTGGTCTTTGGTTTGGACTGGCTGATACTTGTTTTTTTGAGAGAAAAACATTGTTGGCTGGTTGAATAAGTCTGGCTGAAACCAACAAGCGAACAGGGTGATTGCTTTGTGGTGGCGGTGCGCGGTGACAACCAGCAGGCAGCAGCTACCATCACAACTCGATCCATCCATAGTCCTAGCATTTTGAGTCTTTTTAGTTGTATAGATATAGATATAGATATAGAATAAGAATAAGAATAAGAATAAGAAGGGAGCCGGTTCTTGCTGTTGCTGTCTCGTGGTGCACGCTTCTGTGATCACGCTGAAATCGACCGGCCGGCGGATCAACAGGCGGTTAGCTCGGCCACTCCGTCTCCGAGCGCAGGAGTGCAGGACGCATGCGCCGTTCGTCCGCGGTTCCTTTTCTCGCGGTGCACGCCTGACGCCTCTGCGTTCACCGGGACCCCTGAAACCAACCAGAACACTCCCTTTACAGTGGAAAGGGACAAGTCTGATAACACCTCTGTTTCCACCATCCTCTAATCGTGAAGAGCGGACGCACAAGACTTGGAGTTTATTTGTTCGAATTTTTTACTTTCAAAAAGCTAGCTTTTATAGACGGGCATAAAAGCTAGCTCTTGAAAAGCCGGATAATTATCATTGACTCATTGTAGATTATGTTTTGAATAAGCTGCATAATACATGTAATATCTCTCGTTCTCACAAAAGTTCGTAAACTAAAAGCACTTTTGTCTTCTAATAATATATACGCAATTTGAGAATAAATATGAATATCTATAACCTATACCATATGCATATCATGTCGACTGACATATTTAATATTTAACTTGTAGCATATGAATATCATGTTGAACTATCAAGATGATTTTTTTTCCAGAACGTGATTGTGTGAGTTATTAACTTGTACTTTAATTCTTGTGTAAACTTTTGTTGTGTTATTTGTTCGAGCATGAAGGTTGTGGCTTCTGAACTACTCCACTCTATATTGTTATGTAAGTGAGATTGATAGATTTGTGTGCCGTTTAACTAAAAATTATTATTTAATTTTTCTTGAATATACCCGATAAGTACCTGATACAGCGTACTTGTTGGACCCGGGCGCAGGTTCGAAACCGCACCCATGGGCATGTCTGTAGGCGGGTAAAGTTAAAATTGCGGGCACGTAAATGCTTTACCCGTACTTTACCCGGCTCGCTGTCATCCCTGCTTATTTCCATGACCCAAACCACCTCGCGTGCTCCTCATGAGCGCAGCGACAGAGTTAGCGCCATGCTGGCAACATCACGTAGGCCAAAAGCTAGCTCCCGAACCGTTATGGACCTAAATGGGACAACTTAACAATATTAGGATGCCAGAAATATATTTTAAGAGTTTGTGGAGTGGTACCCCAGACAAATTCAAGGGCTTACTGTGCATTTAAATCAAATATAAAGGTTATAGAGTATCTATGTGTTAGAAAATGAAAAATAAGAGAGAAAGCAAAGTTAGATAATTTGATAAGCTATGGGATTAATAAATTAATTTATGTATGCTCGAACTAGTTGATGATGATAGACCCATACTAGACACTAGTTCATGGGCTGGTTTCCTTGTATAGTACTAGCTAGTAAAAAAAAGTATACCTTTTTCAAGTTGTAGTTTAGCTTATATCCGTATATCACAATCAAATAGAATTTCGAAGTACTATAAACGGGAGCCTATAAATGGAGACGTTATGCATCATGAGGCTATAACAACTTGAGCAAAAACAGAAGCCCTACGCCATGGCGCTTAGCAAGAAGCAACACACAAGCACTGATCAGCAGGCCGTGCTGGATGCTCAGCTCCTGCTCTGGCACCACACCATGGGCTATGTCAAGTCCATGGCACTCAAGGCCGCCCTAGACCTCAGCATCCCCGACGCCGTCCACCAGCACGGCGGCTCAGCCACCCTCCCACAGATAGTCACCAAGGTCACGCTCCACCCGTCAAAGATACCATGCCTGCGACGCCTCATGCGTGTGCTCACTCTCACCGGCGTCTTCAGCGTCCACGCCGGCGGCGACGATGAGCCTGTTTACGGACTCACGCCGGCGTCCCGCCTTCTGGTCGGCTCGGGGATGAACGTGACTCCATTCCTGACCTTGATGCTTGGTACTGTCTTTGTGTCTTCCTTCTTCGACCTCGGCGAGTGGTTCCGGCACGAGTTGCCGGACCCGTCCCCCTTCAAGTTTGCGCATGGACGGCATATATGGGATCTGGCCGACCACGACGCCAGCTTCGGCAAGCTCTTCGACGACGGGATGGTCGCGGACAGCAGTTTCATCATGGACGTGGTGGTCAAGGAGTGCGGCGACGTCTTCCAAGGGATTAGCTCCACATGCTCCCACTGACACCGATGTGAAGTACATCGCCGGTGACATGTTTGAGAGCATTCCGTCGGCAAACTCTGTCTTCCTGAAGGTATACGCCCATATAATTGTCAAATCGTGCTCTTGTTGAGTATCGTGATGATAGTCACTTCCATTATTATTTTTGGTTCTAGTGGATTCTGCATGACTGGAGTGATGCCGAATGTGTCAAGATATTGAAGAACTGCAAGAAGGCCATAGCATCTCAAGGAGGAGGGAAGGTGATAATATTGGATATGGTGGTTGGAGCAGGGTCATCCGACGAGAAGCATGTGGAGACGCAGATCTTGTTTGATCTCTTTATGATGTTTATCAATGGTGCCGAGCGAGATGAGCTAGAGTGGAAGAAGATTATTTTTGAAGCTGGATTTAGCTCTTACAAGATCATACCTGTTCTAGGTGTTCGATCGATTATTGAGGTCTACCCATAGATATATCTATGTAACTCAAGTACACTGCATGCGTGAATAATCTGCGTGTGGAAACTAGGTGTGAAGAAGTGTTTTGCCATTGCCTGTTTCGTTGTTAAATGTATCACATGTACTCTTCATATTCCAAATTATAGGATATTTTGGCTTTTTTAATATATTGTTTTTATTATATACGTATATATAGTATATATATATATAGGTGCATAACAAAGGTTATATGTCTAAAAAAGCTAAAACGTCTTATAATTTAGAATGGAGGGAATACTATAATATATTGAGTGCAGGGGCGGATCTACAGGGTATGCCAGGTATGCACCGGCATACCCTGCAGTTCCAGACAGTAGAGGACATATACATGTATTTTTGTAAAAAAGAAAACAAGAAAAACATACGGGAGAAGATGATAACGCAGTGGCCGCTGCTACGGCCTTGTTGAGACGACCTTTTTCAGGCCCGCGCAGCGGCACAACGGGTAGTCATGCTTTGGAGGATCCTGATACGTACGTCTTTGATTCTAGGCTCCACCACTCCAGGCTCGCATTCATTGATCCACCCAAACTGCTCTTTTGCTACTTTTTTTAGGATGCTCTTTTGCTACCTGCTGGCTCTATGTGCACGCAAAACCTAAATGCCTGCATATTACAATGATTAAAGGGTATTTTCTACAATGCTTTCCGTTTAGTAAAAATAAATTTAAAAAATAAGATGGGTAATCTTTTAAATGATTGTCTAGTCAATAAAAGACACATTTTCTTTGTAGCGGATAAAAATGATATAATCGAGACATTTATTGTAAGATAAATAGTATTGTAAGCCTCTTACTCTCTTTTTATGCCTATTTTACATTTTGAATTATTAGTTTGGCGTTTGAACTATTTATATTATAATTTGTAAACGTTTTCAATTTACTCTTCAAATTTAAGATTTATCGTGTTATTTAGTTGACAACGTTTTCATTTGAATTCGTTTAGGAGCCTAAATATTCATTTCGAACCAAAGTGATATAAAATGGGGAGGACGAATATCGCAAATGTACACAAGCGTCTTACAGGTGGAGTGGATAGGTGATGAGCATGCGTAGCAGGAGGTTTGCGGTTCTAGCGTTGGTGGCCGCGAAGCGTGCGTTTTTCGTGCGAAAAATTGCATGACTGTGTGGCTGCCAGGTGGGGTCTCTCTTGGTATTTTTTAAAAATAATTCCCTATTTTCAGCCAATTTTTTCAGGTTTTCTGGAAACCACATCACTGTCGATTTTTTAGAACCGGCACTGATGAGCGCCATCATCACTGCCGCTTTTGTTGTGCCGGTTTAAAAACCGACACTGATGGCCTTTTTGAACCCACAGTGATTTCGAAATCTGTACTAGTGTTCTAGCTTAATCGCTGGATTTATGGCTTATCATGATATTAATGCATGTCGTTTTACCGAACTGGAATATGGCTTACTGATTTGAAAATGGTTTTACCGAATTGTATAAGAAATTTTTTGGTGCGGCATACCCTGTACTAAAATCCTAGATCCGCCACTGGATGCGAAGTACATCGCCCGTGACATGTTTGAGAGCATTCCGTCGGCAAACTCTGTCTTCCTGAAGGTATACGCCCATATAATTATCAAATCGTGCTCTTGTTGAGTATCGTGATGATAGTCACTTCCATTATTATTTTTGGTTCTAGTGGATTCTGCATGACTGGAGTGACGCCGAATGTGTCAAGATATTGAAGAACTGCAAGAAGGCCATAGCATCTCAAGGAGGAGGGAAGGTGATAATATTGGATATGGTGGTTGGAGCAGGGTCTTCCGACGAGAAGCATGTGGAGACGCAAATCTTGTTTGATCTCTTTATGATGTTTATCAATGGTGCCGAGCGAGATGAGCTAGAGTGGAAGAAGATTATTTTTGAAGCTGGATTTAGCTCTTACAAGATCATACCTGTTCTAGGTGTTCGATCGATTATTGAGGTCTACCCATAGATGTATCTATGTAACTCAAGTACACTGCATGCGTGAATAATCTGCGTGTGGAAACTAGGTGTGAAGAAGTGTTTTGCCATTGCCTGTTTCGTTGTTAAATGTATCACATGTACTCTTCGTGTTCTAAATTATAAGATATTTTGGGTTTTTAGATATATTATTTTTATTATATATATAGACATAGTATATATATAGGTGTATAACAAAAGTTATATGTCTAAAAAACTAAAGCGTCTTATAATTTAGAACGTAGGGAATACTATAATACAAGAATGGAGTTGCGGGTCCACGTTCCTCAACGACGAGTAATAAAACGATTTTATTAGGGCCAGAAGGAAGGCGTGAGATGGCATATTTGTCTCAACAAACCGGTCTACAGTTTTATATGGCCGCAGTTTTTACTCATCACGTTTCATATACAGCAGTCAAAGCAAACAGATGCAAGGGCACATTAAGCTGACATGCATTCTATACAGGAGTATCAATCTTTGTTGAACCAGCAACATGGCTTAACCAGTCATTCAGAGTGGGAAACACTTAAGGGCCTGATTGAATGGTCGGAATCAGGTCGAATTGGAAACCATTTCATGGGCTGGCCTGTTTGTCTGTCACGTGAATTGGAAAGCAAAGATTCTAGGCCATTCGATAAACAGAAGCTTGCAGCAAATTCACAGGCTGAAAACCAGAAAGCTAGCTATTCCGTCGCCCGACTCGCCCTGACGCACTGCCTTGTTAGACATGCTCTACTCTCTCGCCTCTCCTCTATACCATGGTGACTAGGGTTCCAAGTGTCCGCTCCTCCATTGCCCCAATCCTCCACTTCCTGCCAGTTCCAGATAAGACATCGATATTGTTCTCATTCCTTTGCTATGCAGTATGCACTTACTCAGGCGAGCAATATGCACTTACTCAGGCGAGCGAGTGAAGATCCCATGTCATCCTCGACGCCGGTGCATAGTCACGTAAAACGGGTTCACCACCTTCGACCCTCGACCTGGGTTTGTCGACCCCGACCCAGGTTCACGGGTTTATTTTCGACCCGAAGTGTAAAAATCTCTCGCGAGTAGCGTACCACGTATCGCGACCCCATACCTCGACCCCATCGACCCAGAAACTTGACTATGTGCCGGTGACCTCTGCTCACCCATCTTGGTTCCTCAGCTTGGTAACCTCTGCCCCGGCAGCATTCATCCTCAACGCCACAGACACCAATCACCTATCTGCCTCAGGCTAGCTACCTCTACCCCAGCAGCTCATCATCCTCAACCCCCGTTTGAACCTTCACCATATGCTGATCCGTCTTAAGAAAAAAATTCCATGTCCACCAAACTAGAAAATTGGATTATTTAATCAAATAGTAGGTAATCATTTCTTCTAGAATTAATACTACAGATATGGGGCTTTTTTCAACGGCATCCTCGCTGGTTTTATTAGAACATTTGGTGACAACATATCACTGACAGTTCTTGTCTTGAACCAACAATGAAAATTATTTTCACCACCGGTTCAAGAAAAGACCCGATGGTGAAAAACTGGAGCAGCCCGCACATTCGATTCCCTCTCTGATCACATTCTTTCTCTGATAGGCTGACGTGGAACCATTTGCCCATCCTCCCAGGGCTCTCAGCCTACCTCTCCCTTCTTCACTTCCTCTCTTTCTCCCTTCCCGTGAGAGAACCTTGGTGTCCCTCCCTCCGGGCGTCGACAACCATTTGGAGCCCCAGTGTGGGTGCATCCATTCGTGGTGCCTTGGCACGGGGGCCAGGGGTGGACGGAGCGCAGGATGCCCGTCGTAGGCAGGCGGGCGCAGCGGCACCCTGCTGCACGAGCATCCCACGGCCTCTGGATCTCGATTGTGGCAGTGGCAGCCCCCGGTGCAGCTACACCAGATCCTGGTGCAGCTGTGTTAGCTGCCCCCGACTTCGCCGCGGTGGCATCTCAGTGCGGAGGCGGCCCTCACGTGGCAGTGGGCCCATGACGCTAGTCCGCCATCTCCGGCGTTGACGGCTGTTTTTTTTCTTAAATTGATTTTCACCAGCGGGCGGATATTGTGGCCAACGGTGATGTTAATTTGTCACACCGTCGTGTGGTTACTCAAGCTGGCGGTGAAATAAACTTATCACCGCTGGTTGCAAACCGTCGATTATAACCTCTATTGCTGATTATCACCAATAAGATGATGATGGGGTCTGCCGACCCAACGGTGATGAAGAATCTATATATACTAGTGAATCTAATTGCTAGCGTCGGTCGCCAATCATATTGCTTTGTAATCAACGTCATACAACGCCACTAAGAGGTTGTGACTTTTTTTTAGCTCGTCCTTTCTAGAACTTTCTTGGAAAAAAACTAATTGCTAGAATATGATTATTGGAATGAGATTCAATTCCAGGAATCCAAACAACTCCTATCACAAGAAAAAAATAATTATATGATATGGTAAAATATTCCTTACCCTTGATTTATTTCACCATGCACCTAAAGACATATGGTAAAATATTCTTTACCCTTTGACCCTTTGGCGCCAAGTACCATGTTCAGAAAGGGAGTATATATACCAGCCAAAGTCCAGTACAAAAACATTCAATACGTGTTTCCTTGCTCTGTGCTCATTCGTGCAGCTGTCGCTTTCACTCTACTGGACGTGTCCCTAATGCATTTTCCATCTTATATGGTGCGCCCACATGTTCAACATGTGTCCCAAATATAATGCGCAAAGGTCTCTGTTTCACGATTATTAGTTCTCCATTAACATGACATGCCACGGCGAGATGATAAGATAAGATTCAGCCACCTTGTGAGTTGTGATGGCAATCGTTCGAACAAAGGAGCGTACTATCGCTGACCTCGAATTGGGAGCTCATCGTCCCTTCTCGCGTGAAATTCGTGCACGCCGGAGCATTTCCATTTGACGACAGGAGTAGAAACCAACAGGTAGGCAAATCACAGTGTCAACATCTCAAAGATCATCAGAGCGCTCAATCACTATAAACGACGAGTCTATAACTCTCTCTATATATATGCAGGCGTTTTATTTGCGCCCAAGAAGCTATAACAATTGGAGCAGATCAACACTAGCTCTGCGCCATGGCGGCGCCCGCCAAGGCGCAACACGCAAGCACTGACCAGCAGACCACGCTGGATGCCCAGCTCCAGCTCTGGCACCACACCTTCGGCTACGTCAAGTCCATGGCGCTCAAGGCGGCCCTAGACCTCCGCATCCCCGACGCCATCCACCAGCATGGCGGCTCAGCCACCCTCCCACAGATAGTCACCAAGGTCACGCTCCACCCGTCCAAGATACCATGTCTGCGACGCCTCATGCGCGTGCTCACTCAGACCGGCGTCTTTGGCGTCGTCGTCCAGCCGCACTCGACGACGACCGACGCCGACGACGGCGGCGAGCCTGTCTACGAGCTCACGCTGGCGTCTCGTCTCCTGATCGGCTCGTCCCCGAACGTGAGTCCCTTTCTGAACATGGTGCTCGGCACCATCTTCGTGTCTTCCTTCCTCGACCTCGGCGAGTGGTTCCAGCACGAGCTGCCGGACCCGTCCCCGTTCAAGTTGACGCACGGACGGCACGTGTGGGACCTGGCCCGCCACGACGCGAGCTTCGCCGAGCTCTGTGACAACGGGATGGTCGCGGACAGCGGGTTCATCATGGACGTCATGGTCAAGGAGTGCGGCGACGTTTTCCGAGGGATTAGCGGATCCTTGGTCGACGTCGCCGGCGGGCTCGGAGGCGCTAGCCAGGCCATCGCAAAGGCGTTCCCGCACATCGAGTGCAGCGTGCTCGACCTCCCAAACGTTGTCGCCGCTGCTCCGACTAACACCGAGGTGAAGTACATCGCCGGCGACATGTTTGAGAGCATTCCATCGGCAAACGTTGTCTTCCTCAAGGTACGTACGGGATCAGATTTAAAACAAAAAACAGGTTCATAATTTTGTGATTCGCTACTGATTTATTTGGTTTCGTCAGTGGGTTCTGCATGACTGGGGTGATGCTGAATGTGTTAAGATATTGAAGAACTGCAAGAGGGCTATACCATCTGAAGGGGGAAGGTGATAATAATGGATATCGTGGTTGGAGCAGGGTCATCTGACCAGAAGCATGTAGAGACGCAAGTCTTGTTTGATCTCTTTATCATGACTATCAATGGAGCGGAACGAGATGAGAAAGAGTGGAAAAAGATCATTTTGAAGCCGGATTTAGCTCTTACAAGATCATACCTGTTCTGGGTGTTCGATCGATCATCGAGGTCTACCCATAGAAGTTTATGCATGTAACAAGTGCTTGTTGTGGGCGGCCCTGTTGCAGGTTTGAAGCGCACAGGCTGACAGCAAAGAAGGGTTGTTGAAACTTGAAAGCGTCCAGCATTCCAGCTGCTAGAATCAACAGCCACGCAGTTATTTGCATCACGTGGACGTACAACTTTGTGAGTGCTGATGCATTATAGTCATTGATGTTAAACCATGTGAGTGGTAGTGGTACACTGGTACTACTTTGTGTTTGCATGTACTAATAATTTTGCCAACATACTGATGTCTTTTTTCTGTGAAAAAAAATCTAGAGCCAGAATTCTTCTGTCATTTAAAAAATGTTACTAGTACGGTGTGCGTGATTAAACTACTTGGAAGCCTGGAAATTGTAGTGTTTTTTCCACGTGCTGGCTTCGTTGTTAGATTATCTTACTATTATTACCAATTAGAGGTTCCAATAGAGACCCCACATTAATTTTCATCCGACACGCTAAAAAAGATAAATTCTACAAATTCTCAAAATAATCAGAAACATCTAACTTTTAATTTGGTATATATAATCATCATCTACAATAATAGCCACGGGATCTATTCTGTTTTACAAAAAAAATATTCACCTCTCCCATTATGAAAAATAATTCCAAATAACCTCCTAAATTTGTATCTAAATTACCCACATTTGCTATTATGAAAGATAAATCAAAATATCTCCCTAAATTTGTATCTATTATGAAATATATTTCAAAATAACTTCCTAAATTTGTATCTAAAAACTTCTAAGTAATCCACCTCCCTTATTATAAAATTAATGTAAAATACCCTCTATTTTTTATAAATTACCCACCACTATCATTATTAAAAGATAATATAAAGTAACACCTTTTAATTTGTATGTGAATTATCCACCTCGACCCGCTAACAAATAAATACTAATATAAGCTATTACGAAAAAACTAATTCAATATCCATAAAGTATGCTATATATTACCAAATTTTAATCTTTTACCACTATCCAATTAAAAGTAAGCATAATGATAAGCTCCACAATACAGACCAAGTAAACATGTATACATTAGAATAAATATTTATTTTAATAGCTTACAAGCATGAAAAAATATTACTTTAACAAACCACATAGCAGTAACACTCAATTCAATTTATGTTATATTAGTATCTATGATAATAATATTCATAAGTTGTTGTTTTAAATAAGTTATACATTTATACTAAAACATTATGTCAAAATAATATTGGTAGTTTACTTTTAAGCATAACAAATTTATTTAACATCGTAAGTGCACATGTGCAAGCTGAAACAGCCATTATAGGAACTACAACTAGAGATGCTATATTTGGAGCAACAAGGATTATAAACTGGTCCTCAACCTAAACTTTTAATGTGGTACTAAATCCACCAAATACGTCTAGAGATAGGCCAACTACTACAGACTACTAATGGGTTGGGTATTTAAGAAACAACATAAAGTAACCATTCATCTATATGCCATTAAAACTATGGTCTAAAGTAAACTGAATTTGCACACATGATATTATGATAGATAGTGTATGTAACCTTTTAAATTTGCATCTAGCTTACATTTATGCAATTATTAAAAAAGACTAAAATATTCCCTCAAATCTACATCTAAATTACCAAAATCTTCTATGACATAAACTTTTAAATAACCATATATAAATATGTTTATACATTACCCGCTTCTATTAATATTAAAATTGATTAAAGTAAACAAACATATTGTGACATCACACCAATCAAGTAGACATGCATGCATGAGTGATAATAAATATATATGTTTCAACAATCTTAAAACATATTTCTTAACAACTTATCATATACTAATTATCCTAACAAATTTTTTTAAAGTTATACTAATAACCATGACATACAAATTATATAAGCTATTAATTTAGATATATTTATACATTTTAACTAAAGCATTTTACATAATTATATTGATAGTGTAACTATTATTGCTTATATAATTCCTTGATAACAAAGTTCAAACATCTAAAGAAATGGAAGAGGTTTAGTGCAGGCCACATGTGCCTATATCTTCCTACCCTTTGAGATTTTTTAAGAGTAAATAGTCATTATAAGGCCTAAATATTAATATCCTCCCTATGTTAGCACTACCCTACCCTAGATCTCATTACAAGCTTTATCAACAATTGTCGGTGTTTTCGGACCACCGACGAGTAAATTTGTATTTGCGCGTCTGGCTCGGATGGTGTGCTCGGAGGACACAAGGATTTGTACTGGTTTGGGTGGAACGTCCCTACGTCCAGTTCGCTGCTGCTCGTGTTACCGATACTTAGTTTGCAGTAGGGGTTACAAACAGGCGAGAGAGGTAGAGGATCCCAAGTCTCTAGTGGAAGGAGTGAACGGGTGCTGAGAGCTCGCTTGCCGCTCAGCCGTGTGCTCGTGTTGTGCTGTCGTGTTTCTATCTCTCGTGTTGAGATCTCGATCCCCCTCATGGGACGCCCTGCTTCCCCTTTTATAGACCAAGGGAAAACGCGGGTTACAGAGGAGGAAAAGTAGAAGAACGAGAGAGAAGAAGGCTTCTAGGGTTGCCGGGTCCTTCTCCTTTATGCGGGTCCCGATGATCCTGTAGATGTCAATAGGGATGGCTCCATGTCGCGGCCCTGTTCGTCACTGGCGCCATGCCCAAGCGTCATCTGCTGGTCATGGTGTTCCACTCTGTCCTGGCGGATGTCGTGGTGAACTGACGCGCCTGTCAGCATCCATACGAGGATTAGGCAGAATAGCACTAGCACGTCCGACACTGTTCTTGATGTGAATCCCCAGGTATGGTCCGTCATGGCCACGGGTTACATCGAGACATGCTAGTCTCTTCCCTGGCATCAGAGTTTTGACCCAGGCCTATACGCCTGGACCTGGAGTGGTTGGCGGCGGTATGGATCCTCGTCGAACAAGACAGAAACCGTGTCCTTGGGGTCGGACGAGACGGAGCCCGTGCCCAAAGGGTCAGGTGAGATGGAGCCCGTGGCCTTGGGGTCGGGCGAGATGGAGCCCGCGGCCTCGAGGTTGGGCGAGACGGAGCCCACAGCCTTGGGGTCGGGCGAGACGGAGCCCGTGGCCTTAGGGACGGGCGAGACAGAGCCCGCAGCCTCGAGGTTGGGCGAGATGGAGCCCGTAGCCTTGGGGTCGGGCGAGACGGAGCCCGCGCCCAAGGGGTCAGGTGAGATGGAGCCCGCGGCCTGGCGGTCGGGCGAGACAGAGACCGCGCCCAAGGGGTCGGGCGAGACATTTTAATACGTCTTGAGCCATCTAGGGAAGTCAGCATGGGTGCTAACTCCGTTGCTTCGGGTATCCCTAATATCAATACCCGACAGTAGCCCCTAAGCCTGCGGAGGAGTAGAATACTCCTTTGGAGGCTTTTCTGGACGGGAGGAGTCTGAGGGCCTTGGCCTTCTTTTTGTAGCCCACGGCATGTCCTAGGACGACAATTCCCTTTTGTCTCAATCGGTCTTCTTGGGGTGAAAGGTCCTTGTTTGATTTTGGTAATTGAGTGACAACCTTAGGTGTACTAATTGTGTTTATATGAGATACACAGGTGATTAGTCCATATGTACATGTGTGTGAGTAACATATGCCATGGAGGTGGAAATGGCTTGGAGATGTTGCAAAGCTCACACATGTGATGATGAAGGAGCTCATTGCACATTAGTCATGACATTGAGTCATGTGATCAAGGTGGAGAAGATCAAGACATGACTTGGCTCGACGGACCGGTTGCAAGTGTGAAGGGCAAGTTGAGTGATGACTTGGCGCTGATGGACCGAGACAATGGTGAAGAGCAAGTGAAGTCAAGATTGATGAACCAATATGATCATGTGATGATATGAAGTGGATCATATCATTGTTGATCGTGTTGGTGCGTGTGTTGCATCAACATTGGAGGAGATGGAATGGAATGCGCAAGGCAAAGGTATAACATAGGGCATTTCATTTCACCGGTCATAGGAGTGTAGAGGAGTTTTTGACCGGGTTTAGGATAAATGACCAAACTATCAAGAGGGGCAAACTTGTTTGCAAATTGGTCATCTAGTGCCACTCGAGTTATCTAACTTTGCATCATCGCTAGAATCGAGTAGCGTGGCAAGTTGAGTGGCTAACTCGATAAAATGTTTGTGAAAAGCTAACACACATACACATGTTGTTGTAGTCGGTGCGGGACCCTCAGGATACCCCGTAAGGAAGAGAGAAGATCTAGTCTAACTAGGATTCTTCCCATATAATCTTAGTAGTAGTATTATTCTGTAATCCTACTAGGAACTCTCATTGTAAACCGACTAGGATTCTGACCTCCTGACTATATAAAGGAGGGTAGGGTTCCTAGAGATGGGAGATCACGACTTCTACAACACAACAACACACAATCAATCCAACGCAAAGGCTAACGCCGACTGGACGTAGGGCTATTACTCGACTACAGTCGAGGGCCTGAACCAGGATAAATCGACTGTCTCTTGCGTTCACCGTCGAGTTCTGCATACGCTGAAGCCCGAACATACTGTCCTGGGTAACCCCGTGACAGGCTATCGGTGGTAAAACATCGACAGGCAAGTTGGCGACGGCTACTGAAAACTGGAAAGCT